ATCAATCAATCAATCAGTTAATCAATCAATCAGCACATCAATCAACCAGCTAACCATTGAATCATTTAATCAATCAATCATTTATTRAATGAATGAATRAGCAATTGCCCTATTTCATTAYGACGTCACAGTATGTTAACATYGGAAAACAATGCTCAAAAACAGTGGAAATTTGGACCCATTTATATTGTCTACTAAAGTAGAACTTCAATGAATCGTGTTTTGATATATATCATGTATAAAATGATTGTTCATGTACATTTTATTTGATATGYAKTYACTCTGATCCCTTCTGGCGACCATAATCCTTAGCGTTAAAACAATAGAATGTTTTGATGTGACRTCATAATGAACTAGAGCAATTCAATCTGTCAATCAAACTACAAACCTGTAATCGTTCACCAGGTACWGGCCTTTCAACCATAACCAGACCAGCACGCATCAAATTATTGAAAATCTCAGTAAATGCATCCTTGTACCTCCTGATAAAAACAATCATAGTATACTGCACAGTGTAATTATTAATCATAATATCATTATTAATAATTATTAGAAGAGTGCTTGATCATGAAATAAAATTTAAATAGTTACAAACAAATAGTTTTTATATAGTTGGACTATTCATCACTATCATCTAACTGGAACAGTCTTTAGTAACAGAACATTCTGTGTACACTTGGAAATCAAACACAAAGGAAACAAAACCTCATTACAACTGTTCCAGTTGAGTGATAGCAACAAATAGTCATTATTTAAATAAATAACTATTAGGTAGGAACTATTTAGATTTTATTTCATGGACAGAGTGTAAGCACTCTATCAAAAGTAATAGCATTATTACCCTTTGTACTTCAATTTCCTTCTGATTTTGTCAGGCAGGTCCTTAAAGGCCGTGTGTATCTTAATGGGGTCATTGTAGTACTCATCTAGACCATCCACCTAAAGAAAGATGGAAAGAAATATTAAGAATGAATAGATTGCATAATAGAATTAAATATGTATGAAAGGGAAGGGAAAAGAAGAACAAGGGAAGAAGAAAGCAAACAACAAAATGAAAAAAAAAATGAAAAGAAAAAATAATGAAATGTGAAAGAATAAAACTAAAACCAAGGATACAATGCCTCTAACCCAGGAGGAAGGGACTCCCTTATAAAAGTTAGTAGGTATGCTTGACGGACCTTTTAAAGGGTTGAAAATAAAACCCTCTTGTACCTTTTAGGGTCCTGAGCTGACTCCGTACCTTTTAGGGTCAATTTTCGAACAACAACAAAAAWTACTCGAAGAAGTGTTATGAAGAAATAGATTTTATTAATCTCAACAATCTAACGACATTCATTTTCCACAGTTTGTTAAACTTGAGCTTTTCTCTTGTTAAAGACGTCAAAAATGGCCGTACCTTTTAGGATCTGGAATCGATACCTGAATTAATTTATGCGTACCTTTTAGGGTCATTTTTCAATATGTCCGTTGAGCATACCTACCAACTGTTATAAGGGAGTCCCCTCCCCCTCCCCTCTAAAATGTTTTCAACCTTGTTGTCTCACCTTCCTGTTAATCCCCACCGTATTACAATACACAGACAAAGGCATAATCTTTAAAAAATCATTCAACTTAACCCAACCAAGTGGTTTGTCGTAAGTTGGCAATGGCTGAAGCTGACCAATCCATCCATAATTGTGCGTCTCTGAGGTAAGTTCACCAGTATTCGTTGCTTTGTTTTTCTGTACAATATCTTCTGATTTTGCAACAGATTCTTGAACAGAGGGAACTACTGGAGGTGCTGTGCTGTTTGACTGCTGGCTCATTTCTGTGTGAATTGCTTCAGTACTTGCTTGAGTCAGCTTCAATTGAAAGAAATAAAGAAATATTTGATAGAATATTTGACAAATTGAAGTACATTATTTTTAATTATAGGAAAATTGTCCAGCAGCATTCAATGCGGTCATGTTAATTAGATTTTTCATATACAACTCATGACTGTGTAATTTATTATTTGTTGAATTAAACTTGAAACTTGAAACTATACTGTCCATAATGAAGGTGACTTCAAATATCCAATCACCATCTCTGTTTCCATCCGGCCATTTTAAAGATGGAATCTTACAATTATACCTCCATTCACAGAGCATAAAGGGATACGTTTTTCATTCAACTTGACAAAATAATATATTATTAATATTACAACATAACAAAAGTGATGTGGGTTGAATATTGACCTTTCATCATTTTGTTTTTTGGTGACTTTGATCAGTTGCTTTTGTATGTATATTTGCCATTCACTGAGTAAATTTAAAAWACAAATTTTAAAAGTTTAATTAAAAAATATGACTTTCAAACTCACTTGAGTTTGCGGTTCCCCTTTATCAGTATCCACATCTGAGGCATTGCGGTTCGTTTGATCATTAGGTAAGCTTTCAGTCGCAGTGGACCCTGTCTTAACAATCCCAGCATGCTCTACTTCATATTCTATCTTATAGTTAACTAGTTTGTCTTTGACACCAAAGAAAGCCTGCCACATGAACTCATGGATTAGCTGCATGCGAGGGAACTTAGCCAGGTATCCATAACTGAATCGTAGATCCTTAAAAGGCAAGAAACTAATATTAAATAAAAAGTTATTTATTGTTACATTGTATGCATTAAGTACTGTCTCAACATGATCGAACACTTAGGGTCAGTTCATACTATGACATAAGCAGAAACCCAAGCAGAAGCTTGTTCACACTTGACAGAAGCATGTTCTTCTGCTAATGATGTCCCGGTTCACACTCAGAATCTTTCAACAGAAGCAGAAACAGAAGCAGAAGAAAAGGAAAAAGTTTTCATTTTCATCTGCTTCTGTCTCTGCTTCTGTTTTCCCAGGTTCACACATACAAAATACACTTCCTCTGCTTCTGCTTCTGCTTCTGATTATGTAACAGTGTGAACCGGCCCTTAAGCCATGTCGCACTGGAATAGCTTTCTGCTTTCTTCAGGCTAACCCACTTATATTATTCCCTCTCCCCTAAAACTAAAACTAAAAATAATTAAAATAAATCAAACTAAAAGACCTATGCTTTCATTTTCTTTTGAGCAACCACTGTTCAATTTTTTTTTAGTGTGTGTGATACTTACATGGTTCCATACTACTGGGTTGTTCTCTTCTGTAGTTTCCT